TCTAGCCCTGAATCCTAACTAAATTATCAAAGTATCACCTTGAAAATTTAAAATTAAAATAAATTCAGTTTATAGCATCAGCCGCGATAACAAATAATAAAATGCTGGATCCAAATAAATTATTAATCTAATTACAAGAAAGTGGAACATAGCAAGAAGGACCAAATAAGCCTACCCACCATGAATTTGTGTTTGCTAATAAACTTAGCATTACTAAAAGTACCACCATTATTAAACCACAAATGCAAAACCAGATATGCAAAAACGGAATGAAAGAAGCATATATATTTTCTTCGCATTTTACGTGTGAGATATAAGCAATAATGTTGTTGAATGACCACAAAGAACAAATAACTGTGAGAAATTTGCTCCGACAGAAAAATCCAATCGGACGAGTATAATATGCTACAATTACTGTTAGCCAAGGTAGAGTAACTGAAGCTAATGCTGTAATTGCTGCATGGGCCTTTTTGTTATGAAGATCTTGTAGTTGGAAAGTTGCAACAGGTATTGGAACTATTTGACCTGTATCTTGTGGATTATGTAAATGTCCTTGTAACACTCTGTCTACTACTCTTCCATTTCTTATCCTAACATAAATCACTGGTAATGTCCAAATAAATAATAACGGTAAATATGGCCAATCTTGTAATGATTTATCCTCTATACATGGTCCTGCTGCTTTAGATATTCCAGCAAATATGCCAACAAATATATAATATAGAGATACAAGCGATGATAATCTATCTAACAAAGATGCTTCTGCGACCCAATTATTTATAATTGCTATCTGATTCGCAGTAGGATTTAATTGCATAGCGTGATGTCCAACAGGCAGATAATCGATTAGATTCCCCTCAAAATCAAAATATTCTGCCGATAGCCAGTATGCACACATTTCTGATGGAATATTTCCAATGTTGCAAAAATAAAACATTCCAGTGAATGGACAACCAAGACATCGCGCAAACCATATTAGCTTCGCGCACAAACCACTATGTGGCGTTGTTCCCAAAATTGCTATAGCTGGCAATGTTCCTAATACATATTGAGGTATAGGGTTTTGCAAGTTGCGGATGGCTGTCAACAATGCGGGTTCTGATGACATTTTTAGTGCCAAAATAAAGATGTTAACATCTTTAAGATATATATAAATTACTTGATATATTCGTCCTACATTTGCGTACCTTAAAATAGCCTCTTTTTCTTTTCTTTTTCATAAAATATAATAATAGATAAGTGTTTCAGTAGATGCTACCATTACACGAAGTTCACACACACAATATCACAATATAACATAAAGAAGTCTTGTACAAGAATTCATAAATTTGGCAATTACATTATGTACGGATATTAAAAACATTATTTAATATAAAAAATGAAGGTCACATTGTCCTAATAATTGAATAGCTTTAGATATATTCATTAGCAATATTGAATTTTAATTTGGGACCCTCACAGCAGAAGGTGGCAAATAGGGCAAAAAAAATTTTTCTTTATTTTAAGAAAAGTTAGATCAATAAAAATAAAATTTTTATAACATTATAGAATTAAAATTTTTGTCACATTTTCCCTTTTGCTGTGGGGTCCCATTTAAATTTTTAAAAAATTTTTATAAGCTAAATTTTTACTGCCTACATCTTAATGAATACAATAATTTGAAGTGGCAGATAACAATTATATCAAACAAGATAAGTATTCTTCTTTACTGATAAAATATAAACTGTCAAAAGATTTGAATATCACAGTATATATTATATGTAAATATATTTTTAATAAAGGATCAAACCATGGATATTTTTGTCAAATTCAGAAAAGAAATCATATTGTTAAAAGTGAATATTTAAAAAATATTTATAAAAATTGTTTGATTTTTGATTATATTAGTATATACTTAATGGATCAAAATTTCTAAAATGAATAAAAAATTTTTTCAATGAACTTCTATTAATGACAATCTTAGAAGTAATCATTTTTCTTAGCTAAATTTACTTGATTATGTGTAATGGCTATATGTACTGTATCACCTATAAAAATTAATATAAGCTAATTGTACGTTGTGGTACTTTGTAACAAAAACATTTTTTGATTAGTTGAATCCTATTTCCCTGAAAGATTGTAGTATTTCACAAATTATTGTATCTTGTACTGTTGGTGGCCTCAAATGTGGTTACGAACTAAAAAATAGTAAGATATTTATTTTTTGCTTTCCATACGAATTGAATTATTACTAACATTTTTTATATAGATTGTCCATCTGGCCCCGGATCTATCTTCCAATGTAATCCTACTGATAAAAGTATTTGTCGATATGTTGGTGGCTGTTTATATGGGTGGAGATGGACGTAGTAAATGTTGCTCTGATAGTCTGTGCACAGGATGCTTTTCAGGCAATTTTCATCCCAACGTACCTGCATCTCCACCTCCAGCTTCTAACAACTCTAACTTGCAAACACCTAACCCTAAACCTGTGTATTCAGTTCTCACACAAATTAGCACCAATTATCAACAAATTTGTGCGAGTTTAGCTTTAGGCTTAGTCGGTGTTACTAGGTGTGCAAATTTTATCGCGGGATTTGCTAACCCATTGACTGTTGTTAAATGTGACTGTGAAATTAATCTCAAAAATTATAGCCCACTTGCGTTGGGGGAATGTATAATTAATTGCATTGGATGTTAATTATTTTATCAATTTATTAACATTATTTTTTATACCATTACTGACGTATCTTGCGTTGTTTCGTAATGCATTTATATATTTGAAGTTTTTATTTGCACTTACGATTAAATTTTTGATGAGTGAAATAATTTATACTTATACAGATTTATTGTCAATGGCCTATGAATATGATCTCATTAGTTTTAATCACGTTGGCTAGTGTATAGAAAAGTTGTTTGTGTAATTATAAAAGAATGAGAGGTACGTCCATATTTTTTAATAATAAGGACTGCTGCAGTTGATAATATTATAAGCATCGCAATTCCACCAAATGTTCCTCCAATAATTGCACCAATATTAATAGATGCTGAAGTCATAGAAGATTGAACAGGTTGAAATGGCTTTGCAGGATCATATGATGCAACCCATTTATAATTATCTTTTTGACTCACATCAAGAAGAAAAACTTTATTTGTGCTATTCATCCCCCATCCAGATCCTAAAATTTGATAGTTAAACGTGAACTTTGTTTTACTGTAAATTATAAAAATATATAATTTATCCAGACGCTGTACTTATCCGGGTATTATATATTTTTCAAAGCCGAACCAAATCTCTAAATTATAACATTGTTATTATGCTTACCAGATGCTCCAAATGCAATAAAAACGTATGCTCCAATTAGTATTGAAGTAAAACGTCTTAAAATAATGTTAGGGTCACCACTCGAAATTGTAGGTCTTGACCATTCAAATTTCAAGATATCAAGTGCCATAATTGAAGAATCTGGATATCCATAAAGAATCAAAATTTGGCTAAATTGAGCTAAAGTTTATAATTAAAGGCAATGCTGTTATAATAAAAACCAAAAATAAATATAGCATCATTTAAATCCACTGTAAATATACATGTTGGCAAAACTGTCGGGATTTGGGATTGGGATTTGGGACGGATTTTATTATGTTTGGGATTGGGATTTGGGATAATTTTATTATGTTTGGGATTTGAGCGGGATTTTTATGATTTATAGTTTTGCCAACAAGTATAACTGTAAATAATTGGATGAAAATAATATAGTGTCCTTTTATTGTGGAGATTATAATCTCGTCAAAATCTTTCAATGTGTAACTTATGCTAATATAAGTTCATATTTAGAAAGATTGACTATAATACTTACGTATATACAGCCCCGTGATCAGATCGTGGCGAAGGAATATCTCCCGATGTAGACTAAATTCGATTATGTATAATACATAGGGAAATCCTTAGTTAATAATGTTAAGCTTATATAATCTAAGTTATTAAATAAAAGCTAACAACATAACTCCAAGCATTATCATTTATATTGTACATTGCTAACTGTATGATAAATTCAACATTAATTTGTAATATATATGCAATTGTAAAAAATTATCGCACTTTTCGATTTACAGTAGTTGGATCAACAATCATAATTTTTTTTGAGTCCATGAGTCTTGTGATTACAATATGGTAGTCGCTTCAACTTTATCATATTTCGTGGGACTCATTTTAATTATTCAAATATTTCCTTTTATCAATAAATAAGTTCCACAAAATACGATGAAAATAAGGTGGCTATCTGTTATGTATTCGCGGACTCACGAAACTCAACAAATTATGAAGATCGTCGATCCAACTAAATCGAAAAGATGATAAATATTCATGATATAACCAAACCTTATCAAGTGAAGCGTAAAGAAATCCATTAATGCTATCTGATTGGCCTCCAATATATAATATAGACGAATTGTTTAAAAGAATAGCGCTATAACTCTCAACTCCAATAGGTGCCATTGTCTCTGTAGAAAATATTGTCCAAGTTAAACTTAATGTATCTAGTCTAATCATATTATTTTGATTTGCAAGTCCTCCGTAGATATATATATTATTTCCCGAAACAATGCATTGAAAAAGCCCTCGACTCTTTGTAAAATTTGTTAGCGTTTTTAGCGTACTCCATTGTCGAGTTGCAATATCAAATGCAGTGGTAAAATTATCACCGACTATATGGGGTTTTTGCTAACAAAATGACCCTCCGGCGTTGATCATCTGATTTGTGTAAAATCAAAATAAAGTTTATGTTACACGAATTATTGATCATCATATTTAGTACTATTTTTAGACTTTTTGTGTAACAATGTCTCGGAGGGTAGTGTTTCAAGCCATGAAGTTTTTATCGGCTGGCTTAGCCAGCCGGCAAAAAAATCGGCTAAGCGGCTGGCTAAT